AAATGCAAGGAAATAGTTAACAGCCAAACAAAGGTGAATCCCGGTGACATACAGCATCTAATGCAGTACTGTGGTGAATCATGTGGCCTTTGCAGAAAATCATGAGGCGGCTTTGGTTTGTTTTCCTTTTTTGATAGTTTTATTTGAGAGTGATGTAGTTGGGCGTTTTTTTTGTACCAAATGACAGGAGTGGATAAATTAGACAATTTCTGAGGAGACGGCCTCAGTATTATCAAGCGGTCTAACGTCCTACTAATACTTTAGAGAGCAGAAATTTGTTTCTGGGGCTTTAATTTCGTACAGTGACCGGTGAACAGCAGAAACATCCTGTACTCTTAATACATCAGTTTTCGGGGAGCAAGTGAAAAACAATATGCGGCACCCAGCAAAGTTCTACTAGTACTGATCTTTGCGCAAAAAAGCTACACCAAACGTTTTTGTTTTGCAGGCGATAGAAAAATCCATTTTGAAATAAATACTGAAAAAGTATTCAGAAGGAATACATTAAGTGCTGAAGAGGTACCAGTTTCCAAAGACAATAAGGAGCTAAACAAAAAGTCTGCAAAATAAATTTGCTTTCGTTAGCAGCATTCTTTCTGAAGAGGTCTTTAGCCGAAGCACCTTTGAAGACAGAGTGAATGAATCCATGACCCAGTAACTCGGGGAAATGCCACAGGCAAATACATTTGTTACTAGCGGCCTAGCCAAAAAAGTCTTTCAGGAGAAGGACCAATAGTACAAATATTTCTAGAAATTCCAATTGATTCCGATATGCTATTTTCCCACCTCTCAAATTAAAATTTTAATATGCTTTGACAACACAAACATAACAAAGTTGCAGTTCCTAAAATATAGGAGACATCTGCTCTTTTTCTGTGTCCTACGAACAGCCCTTCATCCCTGACTGCGCTTATGGCTGCTGACATTAAGCATTACTTTTAGTAAGGAAATGAAAGTTGCGTTGGTTTCAGGTCAACAGGCGACTGTCATGTGATACAGACTTCGTGATTTATTTGCTTATGCTGTCTAATCCGATATAAAAGTTGGAAAATAAAAAAATTTCTTAAACAAGCACTGTTCGTGTTGTCAGTTTTAAATTTAAAAAAACATCTCAGTGCCAGCTAAATTTCACGATAATGCGTGGCAAGTAGTCGATGGAGACTTTTTGAATTACCGCACAGAAAAGATAAATAGGCTGATGAGAATCTGAACTGCTGTCCACATTATATCGTACAGCTTCACTGCGCCAAGCCCTATGTTGCGCTGCCCTTGTAAAAACTTGCTCATTTACCGGCTATTTGCAGGCTACGCAGCTTAAATCTTCAGCAGCTTCTATATTCCACACCGCTGAGCTGATGCTGAATACTCCAGACATCAAAAATTCATTTTAAACCCGAAGACGACACGCTGACCGGACAAGAACAGAAGCTGTTTCCAATTTTGCGCACTTTATCCAAATATCGACTGCTTCAAAGCTCATTTGTGCAGTGCGTAGAAAGGATTTGTATAAGTGAGTTTTGAAAAGTAGGTGTTTGGATAAAGTGTTTAACAAACGGTATACTGGCCACGGTCACAATATTTCAAAACCAGGCTGGGACGCAACAGCGGGCCGGTGCAATTATGCGTTTTTGCATTTTTCGTGCCGTAGCAAGAACACAAGGAATCACAGTAGCTAACCCTGTGACATACTGACTCGCGAAGTCCGGGAAGTTAATTGTGCAACTATGTGATATGTCAGTTGTAGGTGTCGATTTAGTAAGCCGACAAATGGAAAGTTGCTGGTCCGCAAAAAAGGCCACAGTAGGAAAGTTAAATTTAAAATCTTTTAGTCGCACATGAGTAGGAAACATCCCCTTAAGATTAAAACCTACAGCTTTTCCCGCCC